ACATGGACTATCACTCTTGTGATGAAGGACGAGAGCGACGGCATCAGGTCCTGGAGTTTTTTTAAAATGACAGCCGTGGTGGCACCGGGGAAGCAGTGAGTGGTAGCGTTAAAGAAACGGATGTTTCTGGTTATGGAGTCACCAATTATTAGTGTGGTTGGGGAGAAAAGAGGACGAGGAGATGCCGGTTGTGGGGTTCCAGAGCAGGACTGAGCAGAATCTGCTTCAACACTGCGTGCGGACTGAGGATGGAGTGTGTGAGCTGCCGAGTGTTGGGTTGGAGTAGCAGTAACAGACCTGAGAGAAGGGCTACCCGACAGTGCAGGGTAGAGACGGCCTCCGGAGCGTCTGAGCACAGCCTCCTTCAGGATCCTACGTCGGGAAGCGAAGTTTTTTGACCGGGCTGACGGCCGCCGATCAGGCCCAGCGGAAGACCGCGGGCCCAGCAGATCACCATTTGCCGCCAGTGCAGGAGATGTAGCCAGTGGAGGAGATGCAACAGTGTCAGCCGGCACTGTCCGCTGAAAGAGATCTGTATCAGGGAGACTCGACGCCGCAGGTGCATCCGCTGGATGGACCGGAGTGTCGTCAGACAGGGCTGCATAACGGTTGGAGAGGCTGAGGAGAGGAGGAGAGGCAGCCCTGTCTGAGCCTCTCTTGCAGCCACGGACCACCACTTCAGCCCAGGTTGACTGATGCTTCAGAGTCAAGCAGGAGGAAAGCCTTGGAGATGCAGTGGGGTCCCATAACACGGTGTCCTGGATGTTAGCGGTTGCGCTAAGAGAAACAATCTGTTTGGCTTGTACTGAAGCCACATCCATAAAGCCAGTCAGCAGGGAATCTTTGTCTTTGAGTTCCTCTGAAAGTCGTCGGATGTCTTCCATCAGGTCAGCAATTTTTTGTTCGCTTTCTTAAGGAGTGTGCAGTCCTCATGGGCCAGAGTTATCTCGGCTAGCATAACGTTAGTTGCCAGTCAGCTGTTGTGATCAGTGTGGCGTTTTTACGGTCATCTAGCTTAAAATCCATGTCGGATGACTAAAATCCTTAACCTGCGTAAAACTTAAGTTAAAAACTTAAGTTAAATAAAAAGGATATAAAAAATGTAACGAAAAAGTGTGGAATAAAACTGGATAAGAGTCAGGTTTTGATTGACAGACTGATCTTTCAGTGTGAGTTTCCTGATGCAAAGAGAACCGCCATGCACTCAGTCAGCTGACTGCCTCTCTCTCCCCCTTTTTGTTATAAAACAGATACCTTTTGCTACGTTTCCACCTCCCAGATTAAAACGGCGAACCAGAAGATGTTTGTTTGAAAACGTTGCTGACCTGGTCTGTTTGGTCTCTGTGCTCCTTTATCTCCTAAATATTTTGGCTACAGCCTTTTTTATTGCAGTTTTTACAGTTAAAGTAATGTATAAAGATGCTGTTTGTTTTGTTTTTGTAGTTTATTCCACAGTAAAGCTATATTTGTTAAGCTATAAGATGTTCACAGTAAAGGCTGCTATAGTTTAAGACTCTAAGACAGATGGAGTGTAATTTGTTGCCCATGTTTCCAGCAATAAAATAAACAGTTGTCATTTCATTATACTTTATCATCTGTTCATTTTAATACTTAATACATTCTTTTTAGGACTTATTAAATAAATATACAGTATACTGTATAATGCTACATGACAAATAAAAGGCTTCAAATAGACCCAGTGATCGGTGATCGATATTGTCTGATACTGCTTTCAGCAATCAGTGATCGTCCCAAAAAATACTGATCGGAGCACCTCTAATATAATCATTGTTTATTAGTAGTAGTGGTAGTATTGTTTTACAGTATATTCCCAGTTTTTGTAAATGGCACACTATGAAACAGGCAAAAATATAACAAGGAGAAATGTTTCCTATTATGCCAGCCCAGTGCCAGAGTGAACATCGGTCATCTAGGACAGGAACTATTAAAGAGGTGAAATATTGGATAGAGAAATTATCATTTTATCACAAGAAGTGCTCATAAACTGTATGACATTAATCTGTGCAGGAATGACCCACTCACAGTTCCCATAAAGTCTGGCTGTTATCCAGACCACAGGAAAATATGAGTTTTTTTAATAATCCCCATTGACAGATTTGAGTAGACGGAGTCAAAAGGTCGTTTCGATTCTATGAGGAAAAAATCAGGGGGGATTTTCTGCTGTGTTTTTCTTTTTAAAGAATTGAAAAAACTTGTGATTTTGATAAATATAGTCATACATATTTATTAAAGATAACATCTGCATTGCACCTATGCATAACATTTTTGACAAGATGAATCTTCATTTGCATCTTGTATATTGTACACTTACTCTACAATTATACAGGTTTTGTGTGTGTTTGCCCCTCAAACTTTCCTCATTAAAACTTTTTTACTTTTTCTCTTATTGCGCTGGCTATCTGTCCAGATAGCTGTGCTTTCCAAACAGGGCAGTAATTGCTGTCAGTTTCTCTGCAGATAAATAATACACAGATTGCACTCCTGGCTCTCTAGATGAATATATGAATATATGTGCAAACAGGATCCGTTCGTGGCCGGTCCAGGGAATTAGCATCAGTTTGGTCTCCCAATAGAAATGCTGCCTTTTGCTACACTTCTATGAGACACCATTGAAAGCAAACCCACAAATCCCTCCACCCCCCAGCCCCCCAGCTCGCAGCTGTCTGAATAATGAAGTCACCTCTCCCTCCTGGCTGTAGCCCAGGAGTAAAAAGACTATTGTCAGTATCACAATGAGAAAGAACGAGGGCCCCGTGCTCATGAGACGGATGCGGTGTCCTTGTCGATCCAACCCTCGGCGCCACTTCCCGCCTCAAGCTCCCTGTCACACACACCTTACACCCACCTTCCCGCCTTCCACCAGCCCATCACTCACTGTCACTCTGTCATCCAAAGTCAGGGAAAATGAAACCTTTAAAGCAGGCTAACCTTCCCTTTCACCTGCTGCAAAGGGCTCAGCGGCTATTGTCTGACTATCACGCATGCAGGGCTCATACACACACATAAACACACTGTGCACATGCAATTTTTACACTATACATGTGACACATTAACCTTAATCCCTAACTTTAATCCATAACCTAACTTCAAATGATAATAATCCACCCAAAATGGATTCTTTGACTATGAAGCTGTCACTCACGCTTTTCTGTAAACAGGCAAAGCACTACATTTTAAGTCTACAAAGGGTGAGTGTTTGCATCACTACTACCCCAAGTCCAACAGTAATTTTAAGCATACATTCAAATAATTATCTGAGAACATTTGGTCCTTTGGTCACACAAATCACTTAATGATAAGCTCCATATAATACCGTAGCTCTCAGGCTCTGCTGTCTGACATGTGCACCACACTTCCTCAGAGCTGCTGTAAATTGACTCAGCAAGCAAGCCTTTATGGCACAGAGCTGTAGCTCAATGAATCCATTCATTCTATCAGGTGGGGTAACATTATTCTGCAGGTGTTAAGTCCGGGGAAACCCATATTGCTAGAATAATAATTTCCCGGTTCAGACTATCTGCTGACATGGGGGCCATGAGACATTGCACTGGCGGTGTGTTTGTAAACCTTGTCGCAGACCAGAGTAAGATATTACCTTAGGAGGGCTAAAGCAGTCTTCGTTTAGAGGACACTCAGATGATGCATTGCTTATATGAAATGATTAGAGGCAAAGAAGCATGACATGGTGGCAAGTGCAGGCAATCTCTCAGGCTAAACCAGCTGGAAACCAAATTAAATTGGGCCTTTGGAACATGCAGGTTGGATAGCATGGCTAACCCCAGTAAAAAGGACTTTTCACTTTCCATTGCGTCCTAAAATACTCTGTATATCTGGGCTGGAGGATAGTGGAGAAATAGATTGGACACACAAGGAAGCCTCTTGTGAACGCAACAAATGTGTTCAGTGCTTTCAGGATAGACAGCACTTTTTAGCTTACATCCACTGTGTATGATGTCTGTGTTAAAGGGAAAAGTAGTCAAGTTTTGTCATTTTATTCTTATTTTAACTTTTATTAATACTTAAATAGTATTTTTATCCCAAGGTAACCCTGTTTGGTTGCTTAACTTGCATACTTGTTCGTGTTTCCGAACATTGATTTTCACGTTGACCGTTGAAAAGAAACTTGCAGCTTACATTAAAGCAAACAAACACACTGTTTAATACTTACTACTAATTAATATTTACACTTCTTGTCTTGTGTTTTTGTAAACGGGTATTTCCAAGTGTAAATTAAAAGCACTTTTAAATGTGTTTCTTGTGTAAGTTGTAACCTAACTTGTTTCCATCTGCTGCGCTGCTGTGTCGCACTCTTAACTGTGTGTATTTTTTTATGTAATTTTAATTTTGGTGTCATTGTTGCATATCTTTTTGGAGAAGTCAGAGACAAATTTTCACTACGGTGGACAATAAAGTCTAATAATAATAATTAAACCCTCTAAACAATGCAAGGAAATCAAAGCTTTTACAGGATTGCTGTGCCTTATTAAAGGTAATTGCGGTTTCAGGGGAGGGACACCAGTAAAGAACCTGCCAATGTTGGTGTAATATATTTATGATGATCTATGTCAACAAATAAAAATTGTGGGTATCTCTTGAACATGTTTTGATATTTAAGTAAAAACTATGTCAAAAGACACTCAAGTCATTCTTCCTTCCTTTGGTTGGACATGACAAAAACTCAGCAAGTAATTAAGTTCCTTTCTGGGTGTAATAATTGGAAAGCTTTCAGTGCTTTCTGAAAACCTGTTATCCAGTGGGTGGACTGAAATGATCACAGTACACAGGGCCAGAAACCTGATGGAGGCTTGAGGTGGTTGTAAGTGTAGGCAAAACAGGCAAATGTACTGGTGCTGGTACAACAGTACAAAAGAAAATGTCCTTATGTAACACCCAGCCAAGGGAGCAAAAGTTGATACTATATTCTCTGAATTGATGACAAAAGTGACATAAACTCTTGGGAAGAGAAAAACGGAGGCGGGTCATCAAAAAACTTTTTTTATTATCCTAATTGTTATCAGTGGACGATATCAATTTTTCACTTTTTACAATATATTACTATCATTAGACTGTCTTATACATTGTTTAATATATTATAATTTTCAAATAATTTTGTACATGCTTCTGGGACTGACATTCCCTGGTCAGATTAAGCAGAAAAATGAGAAAAAAAGGCACATGATTGCTCCTGTCCACAGTGAGCAATACCGTCCAAAGAAACAAAGAACTGTAGAGTTTTGTGAGTGCAGGTGAAATGCCTCCTGATCACATGATGGATTTGGTGACCAGCCCCTTTGAAGCCTATCACACGTCTTACCAGGGTAGCACAATATGTCCAAAACAATTTTCCAAATCACAGCCCAAAATAATCACTTTGATATGGCAACTGACAGCAAACATATCTTTTGATTTGCTCAGATGCACTCAGAAAAAAATGCTCTTTTTCATCTCCAAAGATGTGATAGTTTTACAGTAGAAACAAAAGAATTACTATGAATCTGAACCACCTTCTGGGGCTGCACTCAGGTGTCTTGTTACTTTGTTCTATACATGTAGCTGAATGTCAAAAATATGGGCCATTTCAAGCTGTCCGGCTTGCCGTAAGGTCTCTGTGAACACGCAGTGGAACACATGAATTGATCATATTCTTCTTTAAGACTCCGTGTTGGAAAGCTCTGTGGCCTGAGGGAAGCTCAGTGTGCAGTGCAGTCTGTAGTGTGAAATACCACACACTAGCACCATCAGTCCCTGCTCCTCTCTGAACTGTCCACAGTTTGAGATCCAACCGCTACTTGAAACACTGCCCAAACTGTCTCAGAGGTTGTTCTCTGGCTTCAATGCCTGGGATGCTTAATCCAGTTTCGTATCATCCACTTCTGACCAGAGCATCTCTGGACCACCAGGCGAAGGCCAAAGTTGGCATCTTTGGACATTTCTACCTCCAAGCATCGGCCAGTGTCCCTGCTGATGATTGGACCATTCTGCAACAAAACCACATGAAAATATGACACAATTTGCCGAATAACCTTAAGAAACAAGAGCAGAATAACTCCTATATTCTAATGTCGTTATTAGGAATTCAGTAACATGTGTATCTGTATGTATGTGTCTTATTTCATTACATTTGGTGTGCTGGAAGTGTTGCACATGTGATATTTTTACCTGTGTAAAGTCCCAAAGCCTCTGGGAAATCCTTGAAACAGCATCACATTTTTTCAGTCTGGGCGTACGTCCTCTGCCATCATCAACGAGGCATTTTGTGTCAGGCAGGAAGGTGGTCGACCCCAGGGGTCCTAGCTGGAGAAGACCCTCGGTGGAGTAGCGGGCGAGCTGCAACACAGAGATAACCAATATGTCACACTACTGGACTCAAGTACTGTAGCAGCAATCATAGCTTCAAAAAACACTCAAGTTTTTAGAGAGCACCTCAACATCCGTGGAAAGCACAAGCTGTAAATGATTTGAATGTTTTTTGCAGTGATGCTGTTTATCTGTTCTGTCCTACAAAGACATATAGCAGTAACTACACAACAAGTGAAGTTGGGAACAAAAAGAGCCTGAAGTTTTTAGGCCGTTATGCAGACTGCGTTACAGATAGAAAGGATGTAATGCTTTAATTTTATGCCTTTTTAAGGGGATTATTTTACGCAAAAAAGTTTATCTACATAATACATGGAAAATGCAGATACTGCATTCTGCCTTTGCATAAGCATCGCCGAAAGTCAGGGGGAAATGCTTCTACCATCAAAATGTGTTCCTTCAGCTTCCTTAGCCAGTTCAACAATTTGTTCAAGATCAGAGACTTTATTTCCATTATTTACAGTCCATATCTTATGTGAAATTAAAGTTTCTTTGCCAAGTGTCAAGTGCATCTACTCTAAGTATTTATATTGATATCAATGTAATATGTTAATTTACAATTTAATACATTTAAATGTGTTATTTAAAAGTTTCTTAACTGCAGCACATCACATGGTACATTGCAAATTCCACTTGCATCAAAAGTTAAGATTCTGAGAATCTGCTAAGCTATTTAACCTCAGCAGGTTTAGCTGATGTTTTTCTCTCAATTGTTTAGCGGCTGCCCCATTCATTTGTGTGTGGAATAACAAAATTAATTTCTAAGATGTCATTTTATCAAAATTAGTATTTTTCCATTACAGGTGTGGAAAAAAATCAATTAGCAAACTGTAGCTGAGGCTAGCTTTTGATTAGCTTGATACAGCTCTCGTACTTTAGCTTTAGAGTTTTCTGTTTCTCTGTTTAGTAAGTGAAGTACAGATATATATGTATCTAGCAGTATTTTCTTTAGTTTGGGTTGCAGGTATGTCTGTCTATGTGTGACCCTGCGATGGACTGGCGACCTGTCCAGGGTGTACCCCGCCTTTTGCCCGATGTCAGTTGGGATTGGTTCCAGCCCCCCACGACCCTGTACGCAGGATAGGCAGTTGACGATAAATAGATGGATGGGTTGCAGGTAGTGAGTCACTGTCTTGGTGGTTTTCTTTTCCTTGTTTTGTTCTGTTCCGTTCGGATGGTCTGGCTTAGCATCCTGCGTGTGGGATAAACTTGCCGATTGATTGTGAGCTCCCCTTGCGCTGGGTTAACGTGTCTGCTGGTCATTATATTTAGTTCATGTCAGCTAGTGTGTGTTTTATGGGCTCACTGATATCTCAGCCAATCTTTTTGTGCTTCCCATTGTTTAATACCTGTTTTTTTCTTTTGTTTTTTATTAATAAAGGTTTAGATTTGAACTGCTTTCCAGTCATACTTGCCTTCAGGGTGCTAGGAACATGTTGTTTGTGACTATCTTCCAGTTTCTTTGCTGTTCATCAATTGTATTTTACCTCCATTTATTGTATTTCACCTCTTTAACCAAGAATGATAGAGCTAGAGACTGATGTAATGATTTCTTGGGACCGCTGGGTAGCAGGATTAGGTTAGTTGGCTCTTAGGATTTTCTGTATGTAGGTAAGAAATGATACTGTAGATGTAGCATGTGCTTCATTTATTTGTAGTATTTATTTAGACAACGTGTTAGTACTTCAAATATTTGCTTAGTGTTTGGGCCCATACGTGCAAGCTTCAGATGGCTTAAAAAAGGTGTCCCTTTTCACAAATCTACATTATTCCTAATGATTGTACTTGTATTTTAATGTTTTGTAAAAAAATTAAACTAGACTGAACTGAACTTGGCATCATGCAGCGACAAAGACTACAACTAACACTGACACTAATAAAAACTAAACTAAAACTAAGCGTTTTCAAAAAAATAAAAACTAAACCAAATCTAAAACTAAACTGAAAGAGAAAACCAAAAGTCAAAACAAAATAAAAACAAAAACTTAATAAAAAATTTGGATTAAAAATCCAAAACTATAATAACCTTGTTCCTTATTACATGACGTTTTGTAGAATATTTCAGTGTATAGCATTGCATGAAAACCACAGTGTACAGCTTATTAATGCTGCAATATTTCCCCACACTAAAACTTGATCCCTCACTGTTTAATCCTGCACATGAAAGGCTCTGTGACGATAAGTATCTATTACGTAAGGATACAGTAGAGATAGCATTTATTATTTATGGGAGTGATCCTCTCTGAAAAATGAGATGCCAAAGATGGGGGGAGATCTTTAGTACGGCAGCAGCCCTGCTTTGAGGGTAACACACATACATGTCTGTGCTGAGTCTCACACACACACACACACACACACACACACACACACACACACACACACACACACACACACACACACACAGTTTTCTATTAAGGCAGAGTAGCTAGCTATGTTATTCACTGAAAAGAATGCCTCTGAACCAAGGCTGCTGAAAAGCTGAACAGTCCTTTATTGATGCAAAAAAATGCTATATCCTTTCCTCTCACAATGCAATCTTTTCCCAAAAAAGCTTGGGCTTTGGAGATTTGGGCTAAGAAAAAGAGAAAATACGTTGACTCCATTGTAAAAGCAGGTCTTGTGAGTACTATCTCTACAAACCTGTAAAGGATATCTGTTGAAGCTTTAAATGTAATGGTATGAAAACCTGTTATGTGGTTATGAACTGATAGTCCCTGTCCTTGATAGTACTTTTGTCAATCAATTTTAGCATGTAAAAATCTCTCCAAACTGATACAACCTTGCCCCAGAATATTTGGAGCAAGGACAGAGAATCTAGAGCTGCAGTAAGTGTCCTGTGTGGGTGTTGCTCCTTGTGACAGAATGCAGGTGGGTTTTAATCCAATGTTCTGCCCTAAAGAGCCACTCAGTACAAACAGGAAAACAATAAAGCACTACTTTGTGTGTCACTCAAGGTTCACTTGAGCCTGTTGGGCTGTTCATAAGGATGCTGATATGGATAATTCTTTGGACTAAGCAATGTCAGACATTTACATAGACATATTTCAAACTCTCTAATGTGAAACACATAAAACTGTGAACAATTTTTCTCTAAAGGTCGTTATTACAAGCAGTTTCTGTGTTGCTGTCTTGGGTCTTTCGAGGTTATAATGCTCTAAGCAGATTTATCCACGGTGTAAACTATGACTGGGCACAAGGAAAACCCCATATAATCCCCACTAATACCTGTTTACAGAGCAGTCAGGCAGCCTTTTATACGCTAATACATTTAAAATGGGACCATAACAAATAATTAACACAAGGAAATGATTCTGCCAAGCCAATTAACCTGTGCCTCATGCAGCAACATTAGACGCTCCATTGCCTTCCTGCCATCGTGAAAGTTTTGCAGCCGTATTTTGGAGGTCAAGCTAATCCCAAATTTCTTAATTAGCTCATTAATGGCGCAACACGGTGACAATGTAAATATAAGATGGTTTGTTTGTACATTGTATTGGGTTTCCGCATTTCTACCTTTCCTGTACCTTGCTCCACCAGGAAGTGAGTATGTTCCACACAAATTCCACAGATTATGGCAAATTTCTTAAGAAAGGCTTGGCTTGGGGCCTCAGCACTGGACCTAGCACATGTCCTCTCTATATGGGACTATGGTCCAGCACGGAAATGGCTTAAGAGGCCTCAGAGCATAAGTGCTGCAGAGTGTCCATCAGCACCCAAGTGCACTACACATAGCTGCAATTCCTTGTGGAAGGAAACCCATGACCTGTGTTTTTTATTGGTGAAATGACCAGTGCAAGCAGCACTCTGACTGTTGTTGGCAGATATTGCACTGAGGATAGCTGTCTGAGAAATATTTGGCCAACAACAATAAATTAAACATGATGCAAATGCACAGCAATAATAGAATAAGGCTTCAAATGTAAATAAACTGCTTGAATTAAACACCCATTTAATGTGGTTAAAGCACCGTGCATTGATCAATAAATTAACATGGTTGATTCTGTGCAGTGCCAGAGTGCAGTGCGAACAGAAATCCACTGTGTTTACCTTTAATGACAACAAAATAATCCCATACACCTGTGGACTTTTCATATACAGCCTGTTTATTCAGGAAATGCTTGATTACTGTGGCTTATTACTCCTGTCATAGCCTCCTTTCAAACAATTTTTTTTAGCAATATTGCCATTTCATGTTTTGAAAGGCTACTGCTTCGTGTGTGTCTGTGTGTGTGTATATGTGAATAGTGCAATAATGCGGGCTTGTAGCTCCTCCACTATGCTTTCAATGCATTGCACTATTGGACAAAGGTGAGACATTATCCATGATTTAGATTTCCACTGGGAGAGCCAGGAGAGAGACTCATTCATCAGAAGCACAATAAAGATTTATTCCGGCCAATATCTTTTTCATAAGTAAAAGGAGCAATGGTAAAAAGAAATGCAAAATCACAGTGTCCCACAAAATTAAATTTGGCCCACTCACAGTAATGTCGGTCATCACTGTAATCTAATGATACAAAGACACAAAATTCATCTCCATTTGTTTTTTCCCCCCCAGGGATCAGGATTAAAAGAGTCAGTGAAGCTTTACATTACTGGACCCCACTGACTTCTCCCTGCAGAGGAAAAGAGGAGAGGCTGGTGAGCTGCTGGCCTCCTTATAATAGTCTCTCATATGGCAGATAATGAACATGCCGCTCACCAACAGCAGGAGAAGTGGTTAGGAAAGGTGGGGGAAATGATGCATGAATAGCATTCACATGGTTTGTCTTCAGGATTATCTTTTGTTTCACAGCACAACAGGAAAATAAGCAAAAAAAACCAAACACACAAAAAAAAGACAACAGCCTCCCACCCACAGTGCCATTTGTCCTGGTATGTATTCAAACAAATTATTATGCTGAGCACACATCTTGTTGTTTTCAGAAGCATTCAACTGCATATTCAAATAACTACACCTGGGAGTGGCCCAGTTTTCCAGTGTTTCCTACTGAGCAAATAGAGCTGTTGGCGATGCGTTGCTCACTCTGTACTACCTTGGACCTTTTGCCTCAACTGACTGATGATCAATTTCCAAATACACCATAGATCCTGACATCATATTAAGCTAGTGAAAACATGATTTACCTAATCATGAAGCAGTGTGAATAGTTGGTTTATTATAATACCAAACTTCCAATGCCATTATATTCTGCACTTCTCTACTGTTAAGGAAAAAACACATACATCTCCAGTAAGATCTAAACTGCAAAATATACTGTGTAATTTGGGATTTACATTCTCTGTGTTTTAAAGCAATACATCCGTGACTAGATTAGCTCATTTATGGGAATTCTCAAGCCAATGTGTCTTTCAGATTTAGTCTTTTCAAAAGGACAAAACAGATTGTTCTTCCTGCTACTTATTTAAATGAATTTATAGAGTATATACAGTCTAAATATATATGTAATGTAGAAACTTCTTCAAAACGGAGATCAAAGTTTATTTTAAACATGCTTTGTCTGACTTTAAAGAAGATGTCATTTTAACTCGATGAGAAAAAGAGTTAAGACGCCCTGTAAATGACGTTAAATGACTTCTGCGGGTGAGATATTCGGGAAGATGAAGAAGATAAGACTGTATGGTTGAATAAGAGTGAATCTGTACATTAGTTCTGAAAATATCAACTGTACTGTAAGTGTTATTTTGTCTATTTAACTTTTTAGCATTAAGAACAATCCCCAGATCTTTCAGATCTAGGGTTTCTGAAGGTTAACGGTAATATTATTGATTAAAGGTTCAGTGTGTAATATTTAGGAGGATGTAAGAAGAAGAAGATACTTTATTGTCACATACACATACATGTTGCGAAATACATTCTCTGCATTTAACCCATCCCTCAAGGGAGTAGTGATCTATTGACAGAAATGCAATATAATATCCATAACTATGTTTTCAGTGGTGTATAAAGACCTTACATAATGAATCGTTATGTTTTTATTACCTTAGAATGAACCATTTCTATCTACATACACAGTGGGTCCTCTTACATAGATGTCGCCATTTTGCTCTGCCATGTTTCTACAGTAGCCGACAAACCGACTGTGTTTTATCACTTTGTTGAATACGTACGATGAAGAAGAAGAAGTATTACATGTAATTTGTAATATGGTTAAAACGGTTAGTTTGCTGTCCATGTAGAGTGAACTAGATGTCTGTGTTTTGTTTGGTTGCAATCCGTTTGGTTGCAATCCGCAACCCTCACCACTAGATGCCGCTAAAACTTACACACTGAACCTTTAAACAAATGGTGAGACCTCTTAACTAATTAGCTTATTAGCTTTTAGCTTATTCTAGACTATTGTAGAAGATTATCAATCTTCAATAGTAGATTAGTAGTTTGCATTTATTTTCAGATATTTCAGAACAGTCTTTTTAAACCTGGACCCAAACATTTATTTTTCAAGATGATTACATTTATTAGATGTCCTAAACACAGCGTACAGCCACACAGGTTTAGTGGATGTATCAAGTAGAGATGTGTTGAGACCATGCGTAATTATTATCATTTTGTCATTATAGGCAAGTCATGCCACTCAGCAGCCTTCTTGGCAACTATTTTGGACCAAGCTCCTGTCTGAATGAATGTGCAGTAGACCCCTTACGTCAGTGTGGTTCACACGATTGGCTGAAATATGTCTCCCGCCTCGGCTGTTAAAAGAAGACAATTGGCTTTCGAGCAGGAGGGACGGGACCACCGACATCTTTGGCGTTACAGGCTTTCCCTATAGAGTTGTATTGAGGATTCTTAAAGTGACGTGTCTCCTCTAAATTACGTCTTGTTTTATGTTTGTTAAATTTCCACTTACTCTTATGGTCATTTTACATATATGGAATTTGGTGACCTCCATGAATGAGAACACCTTGTGGGTGCGTGGGACCTTTAAAACTGACAGTAGACTCAGATACTTCTTTATCCATGAGATTCCTGATGTACATCTTTGGTAGTATACAGAAGTAGAATGTGCATCATGATTAAATCCATACAGTCCGTTTATGTATCTTCCAAATGAAGACTTATTATTCACTGCACTGACAATTTATTTTAACTACTTCACTGGTGATTTGGGGTATCATATTATAATCTGCCCTCAGTAGCTGTTCACTTAAAAGCCTTGGCTGAGATGTGTGTGGGGTCTATAGTTTTGTTAAATGGGAAGCAGTCAGGCAAACAGTTCTCTGCATAGTGCTGTTGCTACCACCATTTATTAAATAAAATTTGATTTAACTTCTGTTGGGTTGGAATCACATCAATCTTGTTTTAAAATGCAGAATATTTTCATTCATAAATCTAAGAATCTATAGCCACCCATTCACACACATTCATACACTGATTGCTAAGGTGCCAACTACTCATCAGAAACACAAATTAACATTCACACACTGATGGAACCGCCGTCGGGAGCAATTTGGGTTCAGTATCTTGCCCAAGGACACACAGTAATGTTATTTGGGAAGAATCAACACAATACACCTACTGACTGACAGCTTACTTGCATTGCATTATTGACTGATTGCCTGATGAACAAGGATGCTTTATGAGCACAGCAGTGGACATGGACACACAAACTATTCATGAGGCTGGTCTGACCTGGGAGGACATGCCGTGGCAAGGGTAGAGGATGGCTTTATCGTCGTCCTCAGAGCCCTGGTCCAGGCAGTAGCCGCTAGCTTTGCTGTTCCTCACCTGAAAGACAACACAGGAGTAACTGGTACTAAATGAATGTTTGAATTTTTGAATATGGTTGGAGTCAGTAAGAGACAAGAGAGAAGGTTCTAGTATGGTAGATGCCACCTAGATGGCCTTCAGGATTAAAGGTTGTTTTCTATGAAGCATTTTAAAGGAACAGTTCTACATTTTGGGAAATATGCTTGGTTGTCCTGCTGTTTATCTAATTTCAAGAAATGACTTCACTTTGACTTTTGTGAATTAAACAAACAAGATATTAAATATTAGTAGTGAGCTTTAGAGGTGCTGGAAGATTTTGTTACCTTAGATTGAGCAAGGCTAGCTGTTTCCCTCTGTTTTTCAGTCTTTTGTTAAGCGAAGCTAACTGCGTTCTGGCTATAGCTTTCACTTTAGCGTACAAACATGAGAGTGGTAGCCTAAGCATATTTCCCAGTGTTTCATTGTTGCATGAGTTAAGAAAAGAGTGGCTAACACACAAAAAAGCTATTTTCTTAGCATGACATGGGTTATTACCAAAGACACGTTTAAAATTTTAAACACATTTAAACATCCTGAAATTTAGCTGAAATTTTAACATGGTGTTGAAGATAACAACGACTTTGTTATAACCGCTCAAAAAGAACTTGCTGGCATGGTTACATTTGCCACAAAAGTTAATTTGAAAGCAAATCAATTCCTACTTGCATGTCACACTGACACCTGTCTACCAGATCCATTGTGGCTTGTTCACACAGCAGAGTCTTCTGTCATCTCAAAGTGACGACCTGGCCATGATAGGATATCATCACGCAGTGAACAGTCCCAGTTCCTTTCCCTCTCCTCCAGATGGTGGTGTGCATTGAGCATGAGCTTTGGTTCTGGCCGATTTGAATGCGTACGGCTTCATTTCCAGGTTGTGACATATCTATCATGTGCTGTTGTCAGGGAAGGTTCCACTCTGCTGGTCTGGTCAGCATGGCCGAGCTCGGTGCTGATGCTCAGTGACAGATGAGACTTACTTCAGCTGCAGTGGCTGTGTGGCAACACAAGGTAACTGTTTCCCAGCTTGTCGACAGATCTGAAATAGTGCCACTTAAGTGGCTGCCGCTCTAAAGAAATCCATTAGCTGGGTGTCAGAGCCAAAACAGGCAGCAGGGGAAACAAAGGGGGGAGTAAATTCTCACAACTTTGATGAATCTAGAGGTTAATTCTGATGTATTCTGACATTGCACTCACATTTATTTTCCATTGTAAAATTGATATCACGAAAAATGGTGCATTTCAGCAATCCTCCAAATAGTGTCTGACTCTAGAGTGTGTTCATTTCTTCAACCTGTCATAATCCTGTTTTCTTCCCCCAATGTGCTGAGTGCGTTGCCAAGCCCAAAACAATCAAGTTGGAATGGAAAACTAATAAGTGTTTAATTAAAACTCATTCTGAGGAAATTGCATTTAATCCTGTGCGGTGATGCTGCTTTGCTATAGCAATGAGATACCTTTACCTTAGACGGGCTACAGTGAATGCATATTTCTTTTTGCTTTAACGTGTAATTGTGGATGTTATGAGTCTGTCACTGTGAAGATGCTTGACTCTTTCTCTGTACATATCAGTTTGTGTTTGACCACTGCAAAGGGTTTTGTCCAAACTAAAGGAGATGTCAACTAGCTGCTGACACCTGTGTTGCATGGAAACGTTTCTCAAATAATAATTTCACAGAAAAGATCCTGATAATGTACAAATTAATAACTTCTCACCAACTCATTTTCTCTATTTATCATCTGTGGAATCAAATTAGCTCTCTGCATCCTCTTTAAACCACAGCTCTGTAATAGAATTACAGATGATGATATGGAAACATGCAGAGTATTTCTATAATCCTTGTAGCAAGTATCTTTCTCACCTCGCCGTATGTGATGGTGTTGTTGTAGATCCGCATCTCTGGGTAGACGTGCTCAAGGTACCAGTGGAAACTCCGACATTGCAGCCTCTTCCTTAAGGCCAAGCGCTCCGAGACATCCCCGAAATCAACCCCCGGGTTCTGTCAACAAATGATACAAAATAAAGACGAAAAAACTCTCAGCCAGCGGGCACTTTACTTACGAACCAAGAGAGAGTACTAGCTGCTGGAGATAAGGAAGACGCAAGAGTGCTGAGGTGCTGAGAGGACGCACCAGGCATTTAGTTTAGAGATGGATAGATGTGCCTGTCATGTGGGACCTTCATTGTTCTTTCATTAGACATGATCTGTGCTGAGCAAATTCTAATCAGCTGCTTAATTATGAGCCCTCACGGCCGTGCCTGCATTATGGAGGTGGCTACCCAGATTGATTAGGGGAATGCCTAATAGCTGCACTGCCCGGCACAGAGACCTAATCCTGATGTGCGCACACACACACACACACACAAAGCCCATTCCAGTATATGCATTTACAGTGCACTGCTTAAATGTGCATGAAAATGTAAATAAACACGCATTCTGTTTAACCATGTAAAATATACACTACATGTATATGAAAGGTCAATGACACTGACACATAGACATTGATGTAAAGGTACACACACACACATTACACATTTAGCTTAACTTACAATTTCTATATACGTTAGAGGTTGCACGCCTCTGGAGCAGCTAGGGGTTAAATGTCTTGCTCAGAGACACAATGGTTGATGTGTCACAGTGATAACTGAACCTGGGTCTCTCACACCAAAGGCATGTGTCTTATCCAAACACACACAAGTTGCCTTATTACCAGGCAGTGTTTCTAGGCAAATCCCCCTTATCAGTTCCCCCTCTCTGTTCCCCTGTCCTCAAGTCTACAGCCAGCTACTGAACTGAACTTGCTTTTGACATCTGTTAATAATGAATTCTAGTTGGAAATGTCCACTTTTTTTGTACCATAAAGCAAGTGTAACAAATGCATTCAATTTCAGTGAGATGTTGTTTGGTATTTGGACTTGGGGCTGGCTACTGTGGTGAATCATAAAGCCTTCCCCTACCAAAGTAATTGTACTCTCAGTGGGTACCTCAGACAATAACAAGAATCTGTGATTGTGTGTGTGGGAGGGATGGGGTGGGGGGCTGGATGGAATAATCGTAGTGTTAGGTCTTTGTACTGTACACAAAATAACTCTGCGCCACAGGACAGCTGGGGTAATAACGTGCCACACCACTGTGTTTGTAATTACACTGGAGAAGGGATGTGGCCTGATTGGCTAGTTTGTCAAAATTGCCACCCCCCATCCACAACATGCTGCACACACACAACAGTTACAATATTTCCCCAGTTGGCACTTCCTAACTTGACTTAGTGAGCTCTCATGCAATGATGTTTGTGCCAAATTTCTAGACGACACGCAGGTATCAGCAGCATATCAGACCTGTATGTGACTGCTACACAGCCGGTTATTATTTTGTTATGAACAGCAGTGTTGTTTTGGGCAGCATTCACAGTTCTTCCCTGACAATCATCTCATTCTGCATGGCTGAAGAGGCAATTAGGAGTCAATATTTAACTATTTACTAATGAAAGTAGCTGTTTATTATTTTGCAGCCCATCTCAGAAGACCCTTGAAAGCAATTAAGCTAAACTGATGTGTGCGAAAATAGACTGATTAGACAAAAGGCTCCTCTCACTCACTTGGTGCACCTCTCTCATCTGTCTGGAGTGAAACTCCACTGCTTCCTTGCTTTGCCTTTCCTCTACTGCCAGCGAGAAGGTCAAGTGGGATGAAATCTGAATTTTGAATTTCTATTGACTGGTGTCTCCGGAGACCCGGGCTGCATGTCTGAATGAACAAGTGAGAGGGGAAGAGAGGGGGCAAAGAGAGCTCAGGGATTGAGGGAGGGAGTGATTTAAGACGGAGAAAAACTTACGTTCATGGGAATGTTCCAGGCCATGTAGACGTGGGATTTGTATTCATCCATCCACACCTCAGCGGCTCGCAGGGCATTGCGCTTAGCGTAGTAATCTATGTCATTGTTGTAGGGCTTCTTTGTGCGCTCGATGTGAGCCACTCTGGCACATGGCAGGACTTCCATACTCCCTCCACACTGCCACACCTAGACAGCACCAGGAAAGAGTACATGTTGGGAGTAAAGTGGATTTACACAGTCTGTACTAAGCTATTTTTTAAATGCACATAAACAAAAGCTGGATCCTTAATTTCCACTATCTGCGATCAGTGGGAATTAAAGTATTTCACAGCTATTGCTTACCAGAAGAGTGGGCTCAAATTAGACTAAAGTCACAAATCTGATGACTTTAATATATTAATACATCACAAACTCAAAAAATAAATATTCTTGCACTCAGGAATTCACTTTTACTCAAGTTTTCTGACCCAAAATCGAGAATCCCAAGGCCCTCAGATTTTGGAACACAGCAACAGTGCTACAACAAAGTCAGCCCGGACAAGAAAGAGCTGTCAGAAAATCTGCTAAATTGTAAACAAGCCAGCAGTTTAGCCAGACTATTTTAAACACTGTATTTCAAGATACACCTGAAAGTAGGTTTAGCTATAAAATCTGTAATAATTTTTGCACAGAAAGACAGCAAGTACTGAAGGTCATTGTTGATTTCCGGGGGTTGGTCTGTAAACAGTGATGGATGTTTGCAATGGTTAATGGGAGTTTATTTTAAACCTGTCTGACTGTCTTGCTGCTTGTGTCCCTTGTCCCATCTGACCTTTCTTTTAGTAATCTAACCACATTTCCAGGTTTTAGCAATCTACTCAGTGAGTATAATGTAATTATTACCAATGGGAAGGATGGATAAAACTACCAAAACAATTTACTGCATAAAACTTTTAGAGCCCTATTTATAGCATTATTCCCTTCTCTTCTGACCGTTTCTGTCACATTTGCATTATGTGGCAGTTAGAGAAATTCATGTCTTAGAGCACATGTGTCAAACTCAAGGCCCGCGGCCGAATCCGGTCCGCCACGTCATATTATGTGGCCCACGAAATCTTTAAAGATTCATGATTGTCCTAAAATAAAAGTCTATGTTGCCATAAACTACATCTCCCACAATGCATGTCGATTTTGTGACCCGAGAAGTGACGGCATCCCGCCACTAGATTGCGATGTTTCCACACCCACTACGGTAATTGTCCGACAAGTGGAGATGAGAAATGTATACAAACAATCCCTAAATGTCCAAGACCAGAAAAATTGATGCAGAAGGAAGGATGCAATTTCATGAATGGTGGGAAAGTGAATACATGTTTGTGCTTCAAGGAGAAAACCCGGTAGGCTAGGCCTAGTGTTGTAGTACTCGAGACCGTCTTGGTCTTAAGACCACTTTTGATGGTCTTGGTCTTGTCTTGGACATTGAGGACTCGGGATTTTATTTCAAGGCCAGTCAAGACCATAACTTTGGGAGTATCAATAAATTGTTTTTGCATTGTCTGATTTGTTAACATCCTAACTTTGATTGGAAGTAAAACTTGGGTGTTTTAATGGGAAAGTGGATCTTTCAGATCACTTTGAGAACTACCTGTGATCTCGTTCCACATTTTATTGCGTGCCATGCAATGCAGGGAACTGGTCTTGATCTTGTCTTGGTCTCGATAAACTCTGGTCTTGGTCTTGACTTGGTCTCGGTTTGGGCAGTCTTGACTACAACTAGCTAGGCCTATGTCTTTTGTGTTATGAGGCAGTATCAGTGATGAAGGATCAACGTTAGTTAAGGCTCGTGCAGACTACACGACTGTTAGTGCCATTCACACTACACAACTTGCCGTCTTCTGACGGGATCTTGAAGTCGTTGTGGCGTTCACACTACGTGACTGATCGGTGACAGGGGGTCACACACTACATGAGCTGACAGCGACTCTTATCACCCGACACTGGTCTCCAAACCACGTTTTGTCAAGAAAACACACGTGACATGTGAAACGGGAAATGAGCGAACCTACAGACAAAACAGCTGTTGTTTGTTATTATAAAGAAAGCAATTACAAAGACAAAGAATCTGGGTGAAAGAATGGATTAGAATACGCAGGTAGCAGGGATCATCTGAGCTACAGAGAGAGCTGGAGGGGAGTAAAATATGTTTGTGGTGAAAAGTAGCTGCCTGCTCATTGGCTGGATGTGGATGTCGAGTCGTCCGACTCCTCCAGATATTTGGCATGCTAGATATCTGGCAGACGTCAGCGATGTGGCACAAATGTGTCGGGGAGCCGTTTTGATGCGTCTTTGAGTAGTTCACAGCGACTGCGACTGCCGTTGAATCGCTGATTTACTCCCGATCACAGCCTGACGGTCGCCGAGCGGCAAATCGGGCTAAAAATTGTGTGAACTAGGCTACAGTAGCCTATACGTCTGCATTTTTCCAGGTAATCAAACTATCTCTCATTAGTTGGATGTACGCCCTCTGCAAGGCTGTGTGCAGCTGGACTATTTGTTTTATCACATCTGTCCCTCATGTTATTAGCAGCTCACAATTACTGTATTTGTTTTACCATGGTTCTGCACCTCTGGACTGTGAAAAAATGAAAAAGGTTACTGTAAAAGATTATGTTTGATATTTCTCTTTGTTATTTACTTGAAATGTTTGATCATTGATTGATGGAGTAATGAGGGTTTTTAAATCTGATAAATTCATTTATTTATCTTATCATAACATAAATATTTACTATAAAAACTTTCTTACTAAGGCTATATTTTTTTACATCTGATAAATGTCCTTAACTTGAATACATAATCAAATAAAGAGGCAGTTATTTAACAATATGTTAAGGAGTAGTTACATTTATAGTCTTACAGTTGCAACTGGCCCTTTGAGGGTAACCGTGATGCTTATTTGGCCCTTGGGGAAAATGAGTTTGACACCCCTGTCTTAGAGTATCTCAGTTCAAATTTGATTTTAAATAAATAAAAAAAAAATTCACTCTATTTGTTATTTAAACATTGTGACAATATGAAATCGTGCATTAAATAGTAGTCAAGTGAATAAACCTGACATTTTAACCACTTATCACTGCAGCTCTGCAGCTGACGCCCAGGAGTTTAAGGAGGAAATTACACACTGTGAACATATTCATATCTTGCCACTTGAGAGCAAATTTAAATACAGGGACAAAGGTCAAACATGCATTTTCATTAATGTGTCAGTTGCACTGTGTTCATAACTGCACTTTCTGTAACAAGCCATCTGCTTTCTGATGCAGCTTACTGCTTAACATATAAGACGTATTCATGGACACACAAAAAATGTGCTGTTAAACATTTCTTTTAGCTTTTAACATGACACACATGTGCTGCATGCTGCAATTAGGTGTTATTGTTCTTTATTTTCTGCTGAAGTGAGAGAAAGAGTATGATAAGTGGCTCTGTGAGCCTATGGCCCATAAATGCAAAAGTCCTCGGAGAGTTGACAGCCAGAAAACCCTGGTGCTGTGAAAACTGCGTGTATGGCATAAGGAATGATATATAAAGCCAGGTAAATATAGCAAATATTTGTCATCTGCCAACATTGATTGATTGTAGGCGCAGGGATGTTGTGACACTCGTCCGACATACTCAGCTAAGAAAATAGAGGCAGGCAGTCAGATTGTAGCAAAACTGTCATTTCTTAGAGGGCAGCAAACAATTTGAATTTTAGAATTCTCTGTGAAATAACACCCTGCATTGATTTACAAATCTGCAAATCTATGCCGTGCTGTGGGAAAGTGGCCCAGGAGTTACACACTCGCGCAACGTCATCAGAATGCCATAGCATATGGTAATGTCCTTCCAACCGTATAAACTGCAGAGCCTCTACCACCCACAGTCTCTTAATGATGATCGCCACAATGGGTAACAGATGTTCTGATCCATTAACTTCTCTCTGAACCCAAAACGATGCCCCCTGCATGGTTTGAAAGGAGAATACTGCTGCAAAACTACTTTCTCAATTAAGTCCGGAGCATGGGTGAAGCCTGTGTTGAGCTGACCATGTTTATTTAACGCCATGGAGGTAAATACAGCTTCTTGTGGTTTGTGGCATGTTCACAATAATCATATTTGGAGTGGTTTATTCAAACTTTGGAGCTTTCCTCCAGTAGTCTAGTCAGGCCAGAACAGGGCCTTGAACTTATAGCAACAAATAACAACCTCAGGTGTGGGCCTTCTAATCATTCTCCTTCTGTGTAGTTCGCCTGTGACAAGTGATCTTAAATCAACTGAAGAAATGAAAAGGCTCTGAAGATGATTCAAATTTATTTTGAAAATGTTGCTCTTGCTGGTTTTGTTATTAACACACAAACGTGAATTCACAGTTGTTTGCTACTTTTTAGATTTGTGGGAAGACACTAGGGGTGTGGAAAATATTAGATTTTTAGATGCATCGCGATGCGGACTTGGAAGATTATGAATCAATTCACAAATGTCAATAATCGATTATCTAGAGGTTAATTTATAATGGTAATGTTGACGGATCCAAAGAGGCGGAACTAGAAAATGCAGAAGTGCAGCCCTGGACCGTCTGTGCAGTGCACACAATGGTGACGTGTGGTTCTCCCTGTTCGGCAGACAGACAGCTGTTAAGTGACTTGTGACTGCTGCTACTAACATTTCACATGATCAATAAAATCAATGCGCAAATAACGTTAATGATTTTCAGACTGTGCAGCGCGTCCTCTCCTCATTCTTTAAACGAAAACTAGATGACAGGCGGCAGGAGGTGACGGTGAAAATGAGCGGAGCAGAGGGAAAATATGAGCACACTGTTTCAGTCTGGCTGTAAATGTACAGTGTAGATCACAGTGTGTCAGTTAATTAAAGTCTATCTGGCGCGATCCTGCTACTGGGAAAGTCAAGGCAGTTAGCCCTAGCTAACATCTCCTCTTCAGACTGCGGTCTGGAAGCTGAGCAGGACGTTTTTTGCTGCTATTTAGGTTTGTTCTCATTCATCCACATATTGAGTACACAAATGAACGAAATACTGTTTCTCAAGGCCCAAGGTGTTCAATGCAAGATTACAATAATCAACTTACAGGACAAGACACAAACATGTAATTACACTAGACAAGACATAAAAAAGGTACAGATATATTAAGGTGGAGTGAACGATGTTT